ACTTCACGATTGCTTGATCAGTATTCTAGACTCTAACCACAGGAAGGTAAATTGACCAGAGCAGAGCCTCAGTTATGGTCACTCCCGCCGTTTACCCGGGCTTAGTGTAGTAATTTGATTCTCGCCGTTGATTCAGATGTGGGATAAGTAATTGGTCACTAGCAAAGACATTGTAATTACTTGATAGTGGATACTCCGATATACCAAAAAAAAGTCATCAGTGAAAAAAACAAACAACAGTTAGAATTTGATAACATTTTTCAAAATAAGCAACACTTATAATTATCATTATCATTTATGCTTTGAAATGAAAAGTATGTCAAGGCTACGGACACAGTCAATGTATGAAGTGATCGAGTGCCTCTGATGTCTATTTTAGAGTTGTTATCTTCATTAAAACATTATTGTGATACATTTATTAGTCTGTTTACAAAATTTTTATATCATTGCAACTATTGTCCATTTAAATGTTAAAGAAATTAATTTCTTGAGCACATTTAATCTTTGGCCACAGTACGAGTATTGTTTCCAGTTATAATGTTAAAAGTGTGAAAAGGAATTAACTTAGGAATGATTCAAAGAAAAGAAGCTGTAAACTGTAAGCTAATAGGCTAGATATAATTATTAATACATTGTATATATGGAAAAACTGAAGAGTTTCATCATGTATAAAACGAAGATCAAAATCGATTGTATGATAATTAAAAAGTAACATCTGCGTGTGAGACATATTTGTCATTGTGAATTTTCTTTGGTATTATATACATTTTATACATTTATATTTGTGTAGCAATTACACTTCAGATTAACTATTCAATATTAGTATTTTATCAATAATAATAACAAGCAACTAAAAAGCTAGTATATATATTAAAGTCCATAATCATTTACACCATAAAATGTTGATAAAGTTCTATCACCCACAGATAACACAAGAATGCAGCTATTGAAATGGTATTGTCAATTCATGCTTAATTGAAATCAATTTTGATGGAAAAAATCAACGCAAAATAGTGATTTTTGGCAATTTTGAGATGTCCCCTCGTTGCCATGGTAACAGAAAATTTAAGCCTGAGCATGTTGTTGCAAGGGCAATGGTCCATCAACATTTGTGCCAAAGTTTTGATTAGTGTTGAAGCAGTTTTTATAGTATTATAGCAATTTGAACTTGTAACGGGAGACTTTTCAATGAAAACAGCCATTTTCACAAAAAATGCTCATGAATAATGGTTAAGTGATGTCATTGATTCTTTAATGAATCATTCTTTCCAAGTTTCTTGAAACTTGGCTATAATGTGTATACAAGTAGGGAAATGTGAAGAAAAGTGAAGTGACCATCAAAATTTACCCATTTTTTTTATTTATTGCCCTTTATTACATGCTTTTCGATGGTTTATAGAAATATATCAGTGAAATAAAAATGGTAATTTCACTGTTTTAAACAGTGAAATTATCAATTTGATAATTTCACTGTTTTAAGTTTAAGCCCCTTACGTTGTTTCAGTGAAATACCAGCGTGCACAGTACTGGGAACCAACTTTATGACGTGACGTCATAAATGACGTCACGTTGTATTATTATTTGGGGCGCTTTTCATTCAGTATTAGGTTTAATGTCCTTTTAAAACGTTTCTTTGCATATAATAAAAAGAAAATTTGTTTAGTTTAGTGTAAGATCGAAATATATTTCACCTTGTGAACACCAAAAGTTCATATTTCACTCGTGGCAGCGAGTGCGCCACTCGTGAAATATACCTTTTGGTGCTCACTCGGTGAAATATATTCCGATCTTACACTGAACTAAACAAATATCCTCTATTTGTTACTTAAAATAAAAACCTCTAATTATCTTTTGAAGTCATATAGTATTATAAGGATATTTTAAATAAACAATTTTTCAGAAAAGTCCCTTGATTGGGTCTCTACCTTAATTTGATTACTCAAACAAATTTATATGAGGGTATAACAGTTACTATTGCCCCGACCTTTGTAGTGATGTAGTTCACAGTATATAAACAAAATCACTGTACCCTGTCTTGTGAGCCTATATATATCGATGGTGTACTGTGCGTTTAGGATAATTATTTAAGTGACGCGGTGGTCAAGTCCACCATAACAGTGTAAAACAGTTATCATATTGTGTTTATTATCCTAAGTCAAGCAGGCTTGCCATATAAATTAAAATATCGACAAATTTAGCAACTGTCAGCATAAGGCAGTATGTAAAGTTGTCTGCACATATCAATGCAAGACAGCCAGGTTTGGTCCCAAAAAAATCTGTATAATTATCAATCAAGTAAGAATATCAAATTTTTCTTGTAAATGTTATAAGTGCTGCGTTATTTTCTAACTTCTCATTAAATGTTGCCATAGTTAGCAAGTTGTTGCAACCTTATACGGAATGCGTACATGTACATAAATTGTTTCAACCATAGTTAAGTTGGCACGAGATACTTGTGCACTGCAAAAGTACTATAATTATTACATATTACACACTACACAGGATAAAAATCATTATTTCCGGATTATCTAAATTATTCGATATTATAACAAAACTGCCTTTATATTCCAATTCATTTGCATGTAATGTAAAAAATTAAAAAAAAATGGGGAAGAAAAAGGAAAGAAAGGTGTGACAACAAATGTGAAGCTCGAACTCATATGCCATCGAGACATATCAAATTGTTTTCATATCTTGAATCATATTTGCTTCTAAATATCCTGTTTTACCTATTTAGACTAAGGTTGTAAACTTTTGTGTACACAAAAAATGCAATGTCACTCTCACATTATCATAGCGGCACAGTACCATGTATTGCTACTTCCGATCACTGTACCTTATTTGGGAGCCTATATATTTTAACTTGTATGTTACTTGCAATAACAGGCAGTAGACTTGTTTATATACTGTGTAGTTGTATTTGATGTTTTTGAATTCCCAAACAAGACAATATTTGCAGCTTATTATTCCAAATTCTGTATGTACCTTAACAAGTTTTTGAACCACACAGAACTTACAATACAAATTAACACTTTTCCTTAAGAGTATACATAATATGAATCAAATTGCTTGATAAGAAATCAAATAAAATCATGAGACTATGTCCTAAATCAAAATATCTATGTTTAAAGGGAGGCTATTCAAATGTTAGACTAAACACTTCACATTGAATCATTTTTGTACTGTTCAGATATATGGCATTATAATTCTAAATTTCATAACATTTTTATGCCCCTACCCTCCCCACTCACTGAAAAAAAAATGGAAAGCAAATAGTACTTCCTTTCTTGAATCCTTAACTTCAAAGGGAAATTTTCATAAAATTGCATTGATATTTGTGGGTTTTATTTAATTCTTACAACACTTTGTTATGGTAACAATAGTTTTATTGGAAGTCAAAGGTCATTATTGTTTTCATGTTCAAAGCAATGGAAGTCATCAACAACAGATCTTATGTTATCATAATAAAACAAAGAGCAGGCTGACATATAAGTTCTGATATCTTACTTCTTAAGGAACAATTACTATATGATAAAGGTGAAAAGAATGCACAGTTCATTTTATGCTTTTATGCCCTTCACAAGGACATATGGTGTGGTTGCAACAATTTCTATGTATTTTGAAACTTAAATAAAAAATCTGGCTACCTTCAAGCAAACTAACATTTCCTCTCGAAGTTTTCTACATATTCAACAAGTGCTTTTATTCAAGATCAGAGCTGTTTGGAAAATAAAGTGACATTGATATATTTATATGCGCCATGATGCCATATTCACAATAAAGTTTTGTATGTTATTGAAATCTAACATAAAGGAGGGCTGGTATTGAATATATTGAACACTTAATTTTGGTTTTATTTCTAATAGAAAGCTTTTTTAATCTAAATATGTATAATGTATCAATAAAATACATGATATGAAAATATATTTAATCAAGGGAGATAAATCTGCTGTGCATAGTTACAGAGTAGATTTTTGTATTGAATATTGTTTGCAGAGTTGTGGATTTTTATAAATTAATAAAAAATAAATAAGTAGATAAAAAAAAAATTACTTTTTCGGATAACATATGTGCAAATTTGGCATTTTTACTGGAATTAAATTTCATATTTTAATATTGCAATCTAATTCAAATCAGCTTCTAAATTATGCTACATATTAAGATCTATTATTCACCCATAGGTAGTCACCTTCTCGTGGTCTTTCATATGCTGCTTTTCATGGAATGGCACGAAAGTGTCACATTGATATCCATGATAACTGCCATATGAACACATCTACAATGTTTCTAAATTCAAAATTTCACCATATCATGTTTAAATGTTGAATTCTGCTTATGCCGGTGCTAGGAGGCGTGGACGGTAACTTGCACTTTCCATTACAGTCCATGAACAGGCTCAATTAAATCGAGCCTGCAACATTTTCAATATTGTTTTGTTTGGCTTTCTTAAGGGATTCTTTATTTCTCTCAGTTTTTTCAAACAACCAATCATAAGCGACCTTTCATTATTTTGAAAGCGGTGCAGTTTTTAATTGTAACCCTAATTCAAAAACCAATACTGAGTGATTTTGAGACCAAACGTAGCTTCCTTGGAAATCGCAATTATAAAGAAGGCTAAACATATACAATCGTCATCAGATCTACATGGAATAAATAAGTAGATCTGAACTTATAGTCAGATTGTAAATATTGGTAATAACAATAATATAAATTTCAGTTTTTCAAAACATAATTATTCTTTGAAAGTCTATCATTAAAGTATGAAGTTCAGAAGAACTCGGCACAGGATAATAATTTAGCTTGATTTCACACTGATTTATCACCTTTTGTTTGACTTTTGTATGTTGTTGCAGTTTGATTGGATGACTGATTGGATTATCTTGAGTGAAATGAATTATCACTCAAGATAACCCAATCACTCTACCAATCAAGCTGTAATGATATAAGTTATGTCATTTATGTTTACTGATTAATCCCTACATTATACTATATTATAACAGAAAAATAGCCGAAAAGACCAGAGATGAAACTTCTAGGAGGTGAAAGACTACAGCCTAAATATCTAGAAAAGACTACAGCTGAAATATCCAGAAAAGACTAATGCTGAAATATCCAGAAAAGACTACAGCTGAAATATCCAGAAAAGACTAATGCTGAAATATCCAGAAAAGACTAATGCTGAAATATCCAGAAAAGACTAATGCTGAAATATCCAGAAAAGACTAATGCTGAAATATCCAGAAAAGACTACAGCTGAAATATCCAGAAAAGACTAATGCTGAAATATCCAGGATATGAAACATGCAGATATCCACGGTTTTGTGCCTTGTAAGTTTAAAACAATCTCTTATAATTCTAAGTACATTGTCAATTTGTATTACCTGAGGTATAAAACAAGAATGATCTTTAATAATTAATCATAATAAGCCACCATTTCAATAACAAAATAATGTAATAGTTAAGACTTGTATTAAGTTAACCAGTATTTTTTTTTCTGGGCTACCTGACATTGGGTCCAAGGTCTTTCAAATAGAATGGTCTATATACCTTTCTCACTACAATTAACATGTCTTCAGGTGACTAACTTGGTACGAGGGTTGTTCGGGAAGTTCTGAGAATTGTTTTATAGCACACGTTGTAGTCGGGTTAGCATAAATATAAATATATACGCATTTATTTCAATATATACTGTACAGTATCTAAAAATATCATCATCATACACACAGAAACTAAAACATAATAAAAATAGTAAATAACCATATAACAAACACCCGGAGCACGCCGACGTCATTTGCAACGTTATGCGACGTTAACGACCATCGATCGTCGCACTTTTTCAACGTAGTCACCTGCAATTTCGATGCATTTCCTGTCTCGGCTGATTCACTTATTGTATGTTTCCTTGTACCAGCTATCGGTAAAGGACGAGACTATAGCTTGCGTATGCTTAACAGGATCGTCAGCTGAGTCAAAGAGTTTTCCACGCAGCTGTGATTTGAGCTCCGGGAACACACGGAAGTCCATCGGAGCGAGGTCCGGGCTGTATGGAGGGTGCTCTAAGATCTCAAACCCCAAGAGGCTGATCTCTAACTGGGTAGATTCCGCTCTGTGGGCCGGCCCATTGTCTTGATGAAGTATGATGCGGTCATGGTCCATGTGGGGGCGCTTCTTCCGTATCGCGTTAATGAGATCCCGCCTCAGAACCTGTTAAAAACGCATGCGGTTAAAAATTTGATTTGCACTTATCTTACTCAAAACTTTTATATTTTAAATGTAAATTTTTATAAATATTATGATTATAATATATTATAATTAGAAATGTATACTTTGTTATCAAAATTACGAAATATTAGTGTAGCGCGTTATACCTTTCTTTAGAGTTGGACTGCTCCGGTGCGGCGTTATAGTGTTGCTATGGTTACTGCTATTTCTGGCTATTGTTGTCTGATTCTATTCAATTTTTAGGAATAGTTCCGTGATATGCTAATCTTAGTATGTGCAAAATATTACGTCTTAGAAACAAAAAATATAGGAGATATGACAAAATTCCCAGAACTTCCCGAACAACCCTCGTATATAGTTTGCTATACACCAATTATGTTTGGTATTATTGTTCAAGAAAAGGGCGAAAATTAAATACAAGTTCAAAAATAAAATTCTAACAACATGATGTTCTTTAAAAATCTTTAAACTTGTGAAAAAAGATAAGTATTTCAGAAAATAATGCTTTTAAAGCCATGATATGTTAAAAACCAAATTAGATTGCATGTTGGAATATTTGCCAACAAATGGTGCCATTTTGAAAATGCACCGAATTAAACATCAAATATTTGTAAATAACAGTGAAATATTATAAACAGCTAAATAACATTTTTTTCTGTGTCAATGAACAATGCATTAATTAAAAAAAACTGATGAAACCCAGACCTATTTTCAAATACGAGGAGTAGATTTTTATCTAAATGACACTGGGAACCAAAAACTTCTAATTTCATTGCAAATCTATAAAATTGTAACTCATAAACCCTTTACTGCATGAGCATTTTGTTCAAATTGCTATGAAACTATAAAAAATGCTTCAATACTGATCAAACTTAAATTGGCCCAAATGTCGACTGGACCATAGCCTCTTTAATAGCATGCTCAACCACAAATTTCCTGTTACCATGGCAACAAGGGGACATCTCAGAATTGCCAAAAATCACTATTTTGTGTTGATTTTTTCCATCAAAACAGATTTCAAAGTGCTGCAACTTCTCAACGGATTCAGATAGAGTCCAAGGCTTTCGGCCGTGGTTACATGTTACGTAAAGATCCATCTGAGGCCATTTTTAGCTTCTCACAAGTCCAAAATTGTCTTGCCCACAAGCAGAATAGGGCATATCCACCCTCTGAAACCGCCTATGTATTGGGAAGGGCAGAAAAAGTGATTACTTTTTTAGCTCACCTGAGCTAGCTCAGGGTGAGCTTTTAGGATCGTTGAGTATCCGTCGTCTGTTGTCGTCCGTCCAAATTTGTTCGTTAACACTCTAACAGTCTCATTTTTGCCTTAATCATCAACTTGGTCAGATTGCTTGTCTAGGTCATTGCTCGGATGAGTTCGAACATGGGTCTTCTCAGATGAAAAACTAGGTCACAGGAGCTAAAAAAAGAAAAACCTTGTTAACACTCTAGTGGTCACATTTTTGACTCAATTGTCATCAAACTTGGTCAGAATGCTTGTCAAGGTTATTGCTCAGATGAGTTCAAATATTGGTCATCTCAAATGAAAAACTAGGTCACAGGAGCTAAAAATAGAAAAATCTTGTGAACACTAGTGGCTACTGTTTTGATCCATATATCCTGGAAATTGGTCTGAAAATAATTATGTTTCGATGATTTCTAGGTCAAGTTTGAATATGGGTCACCTTGGGTCAAAAACTATTTCACAACACTCAAATATTGAAAAACCTTGTTAACACTCTGGTGGTCACATTCTTTATTCAATTGTAATCAAACTTGGTCAGGATGCTTATCTAGGTAACTGCTCGGATGAGTTTGAACATGGGTTATCGTGGATGAAAAACTATGTCACAAGAGCTAAAAAAAGAAAAATCTTGTTAACACTTGTGGCTACTGTTTTGATCCAAATATCCTGGATATTGGTCTGAAAGTTTGTTTTGATGATTTCTAGGTCAAGTTTGAACATTTGTTGCCTGCGGTCAAAAACTAGGTCACTGCTCAAATATGGAAAATCCTTGTTAACACTCTAGTGTTCACATTTTTGACTCACCTGTCATGAAATTTGGTTAGAA